GGGTGTCATAGAGGAAGACGCACTCCCATTGAAAAGCCTCCCAGGGGAAGTTCCTACTTGGGTTGTTTTGTTAGGAAGAACCAAGTGGGTTATAGGCCAGCGGCCAAATGCTTTTAGGAAGAGACATGTTAATAAGGACAGAATGTCTTTAAATGATGTCATCCTTGGGGCGGGGCTTGTGGTATAACCTATTATCTCATCTCTTGAGACACCTGCATCCTGTATTGGAATGCCTGGTCCTAGTCCTGGCTGCTCCACTTCCTATCCAGCTTCCTGCTAATGTGCTGGGGAGGCAGTGGATGATGGCCCAAGTGCTTGGACCCCTGCCACCCACGTGGGAGACCTGGATGGAGTTCCTGGCTCCTGGCTCTGGCCTGACTCAGCCTGACTGTTGTGAGCATTTGGGGAGTGAACCAGTGGGTAGAGGACATTCTCATTCTCTCTCCTCCCTTTCAAATACAATGAAAATAAGTAACAGCAGCATAACCCTTCACTGGGCACACGGTGGATCCCATGCCTTCACATCCTGTCACTCCTTTTCCAGAACCGTCTGGGGCCTGTGCTGCGTCTTCAGGCTTTGCCAGCTGTAAGGACAGTGATCTCCGTCTCGTTGAGAGAGTTTCTCCCAGAGTCTGGAGAGGGAATTGTCCAATACCATAGCTTTTTCCCTTTATGAGAATTTTAACAAGAATCTGGAGTAGAACACCTTTTTCTAAGGCGTCCAGTTATGACTTTGGAGTTAGCTGGCAGATGCCAGGGCGGGGATGAGTGAGCAGGGTGTGGGGGTGGATGGTGGGGGTGCGCACACTCGAGAAGGAAAGGACTGGGACACCCAGGACAGAAGTGCCTGAACAGCACAGAACAGAAGGGGTCAGGGGGCTTCCGTTCTCACTGCAGTTACCTGGCCCAGGCAGAGCCCCCACCCCCACCTCCTTGTCTGGAAATGCGTGGCTGACTGGTGGACCGGGAAAGTCCTCGAGAGGGCCAAGTTCAGCCTGTGATGACCACTCTATTCCCAGCAGATCAGAAGGCACAAGGGGTCACCGCTTGTCGGAGCCATGAGCGAGGGGGAATGAGTCCCCACCCCCCAACCCCATCCCAGTTCCCCTCCCAGTAACCCCGCTACCAGCGAGGTTATTGCTCTTTTAATTTAATCTTTTGCCTGTTCTGGTGAAGACAAAGCACATTTCATTTTGCGCAAAAGCAAAATGGAGGGGCCAAGAGAAAGCCCCTGAAGGATGGAATCGCTGCACTAGATCATTGCGCCGCCAGCTGTGAAACGGCTTAACGTCCTGGGCGGTCCCCGCCGCTGCCCCTACCCCGCCCAGTGGAAGGAGGCAGTCTGAGAGTTGGATGGGAGGAGAAGACGTGGAGAAGGGGTTGGAATAGAGCTTTTCTATGGACAGAAAGTCCGTCTCTTGTTTGTGTTCTGAGCCCACTATTGACGAACGCCTTCGAGGTCCTGTTCCACTTGCGTCCCCATCACAGCACAGAAGCTCATCAGGGAGGGTGTGCCACAGCCAGAGCTCAGCCTGCGCCTGCCGACTCATGCACATGTGACCTTGGGCCATGTGACCATGTGACATGTGAAATGGGTTGGTCTGCATGGAGATGAGCTGTGTTTGAAGTCAGAGTGTAAATTAAAGAATATAAAATCATCAATCATTTGTAGGTTTTTATATGATGAAATGATTATATTTTAGCTATATTAAAATGAATTTCATCTGTTTGTTGTACTTTGATTATGACTACTAGAGCATCTAAAATTACCTAGGCAGCATTGATTTCTAGTTTACGTGGTAGCACTGTTCTGTTAAAGATACCAGTGTCAGTCCAAACAATGTTCAACTCCCTGCTGTTTATATTTCTCTTCAATGAAATGCCAGTGGGGCCGATGCCATGGCATAGCAGGTAGAGCCACCATTTGCAGCACAGGCATCCCATATAAGCACTGGTTCGAGTCCCAGCTGCTCCACTTCTAATCCAGCTCCCTGCTAATGTGCCTGGGAAAGCAGTAGAAGATGGCCCAAGTATCTGGCGGTTGCCTCCCATGTGGGAGACCTGGAAGAAGCTCCTGGTCCCTGATTTCAGCCTGGCCCAGCCCTGGCCATTGTGGCCATTTGTGTAGTGAACCAGTGGATGGAAGATCTCTGTGTCTCTCCCTCTTTCTCTGTCACTTTCTGCCTTTCAAATAAATACACTGATCCGATCCTGGAAAAGAAACACCAATGGTTTCAGGGTTAGCCCCATCTGTGGTCCAGTGTCACTTTGTTCAGCTCCATCAGGCTTGTAGGAGTTGTCATTCTAAAGGAGTCGGGGTTTTAGGACGTTCCTGGAGCAATGCTTCTAAACCTGGGCTTCCTTCTCTTGCTGCTGCCACCAGCAGGATGCTTCTTGGAGCCCCGCCAGGGAAGACTCCAGGTGGCTTCAGGCGTGGGCATGGTGTTTTACTGAAGTCGGTCTTTGTCAGCTGGGCACGGGGGGAGGAGTGGGGGTTGCGTGCGACGCAGCCTGCATCAGTCACGCGGGGAGGTTGTGTTCCGCCTGCGTTCGGCATTCTCCTAGGAGCCCAAATGCCTTCTCACATTCTGAGAAACACTCCTAAAACCTGCATCCCCAGCCTTTGGGACAGAAGAATCAGTCACCAGAGACATCTGGCACATATGCCAATTCCCAGGTTCACTCCAGACTCCCAGAGTCCCAGGAAACTGTGCTTCCATCAGTCTGCGATGCTCTTCTCCCGGGAGCCTGGTGTCGGAAGGGTGGCAGCTGCGAACCTTGCCACGTCTCCCGTGAAACTTCATGGGGCACTCTGGCTCACTTATCTCCTGTCCAGAGTGTTTCCGGGGATTTGGGAGACAGTGTCTTGGAACAACGGTTCCCACCATGGCTATGTGGAAGATTGCCTGGCAGCTGCAACATCAAGACCCACCACACCCCAGGCCAACCCCGTCTGTGTTTGCAAACATTCCTCTGGTGGCTTCAATTCACAGCCAAGGTGGAGAAGCCCAGGGTTGGTCCCCAGCAAATTAACTCCTCTCCCTTCTGCCTTTACAGAGCAAAATTTGTCATTTAGTGCCCTCATGTGCCCAGAATAAAATAGCTAAGCACAAAGGCCATGACAAGTTGCCTCCTGAACTCGTCACCTCTTCCTGGTCCGAGAAAGTCTCCATCCAGATGATCGTGCCTGCCCCTGCAGACCAGCTGCGGGCTTTCCGTGCAGCTGGGCTGTCCAGCACAGGTGCTAAATATTTTGTTAACGCTTCCCCCTGCAGCTCTGAGTGCCCCGTGCCCAGACAACCCCAACACTCCCTGCAGAACCCACAGCTGCAGGCGCCAGGTTCAAGCCCTGCACGCAGGTCAGTTCCAAGGGAACACTGCCTGCTGCAGTTACGCCTATGGGAGTTGTTTCCCTTCACCCGGAAGGTGTTTTTAAAGGGGCCATGACCTTTTTCCACATGCATTTGGAGATAAATAAAAAATGGAGATTTGAAAGTCAATAGGTACCTTTATTACAAGATTCCTTCCACTTTTCCTCCTCTGCATCTTAAACAAACTTCCCAGCAATGACACTGAATTATAATTATTTGGTATAAGCAGGTGTCAGAGCTCAGCACACAGGGGAAACAGCACTTGGCAACTGACAAAACCACAGAAGCCAGAGGGTCCCTCGGACCTCCTCTAGCCTTTCTCCCTGAAGCTTGAGTCTGGAATGAATGAATGACTTCCTCCCCTCCTAGCTTTAAATGCTTCCAACTATCTTGCAACAGCTTTGTCCCTCACCCTGAGGACTCTGTTACATTAGTCCTGGAGTTTATTCCCCAGGCTCACATGGCCCTGTTGGAAGAAGTGCTGCTGATGCCACAAGTCCTGCAGGAGGCAGTAGAAACAGCCTCCTGCTGCTACCAGTTCCTGCGGATTCAAGGTTCTCTCTCTGTCTCTCTCTTTTTTTTTTAAGATTTATTTATTTATTTGGAAGACAGAGTTACAGAGAGAGGTAGAGACTGAGAGAGAGAGAGAGAGGTCTTCCATCCGATGGTTCATTCCCCAGATGGCCGCAACAGCCGGAGCTGCACCAATCTGAAGCCAGGAGCCAGGAGCTTCTTCCGGGTCTTCCACGTGAGAGACTTGGGCCATCTTCTACTGCTTTCCCAGGCCACAGCAGAGAACTGGATTGGAAGCGGAGCAGCCAGGACTAGAACTGGTGCCCGTATGGGACACTGGCGCCCACATGGCTTCTGGTTTTGGGTTAGGCCCAGCTCTGGCCACTGCAGCCAACTGGGGAGTGAACCAGTAGATGGAGGACCTCTCTCTCACTCTCTCTCTCTCTTTCTCTGCCTCTCCTTCTCTCTGTGTAACTCTGAGTTTCAAATAAATAAATAAATCTTAAAAAACAAAAACAAAAACAAACCAGATAGGGAGAGGAGGGACAGCAATCGCCTGGAACCAAACCACGAGGGTCCTGTCCAGCTCCCAGGCTCCAACTCTGCAACCTGCAAGCCCTGATACTCTTTTCAGTTTCTTTAAAACTTGGCTCCAAGCAGCTTGGCTTCGTCTATTGAAAAAGATATAGGAACGCCTGCCTTTGGGGTATACGTTTTACATTTACTTTAAGCATAACACAGGTGGATTTTTTAGCAGCCTCGGTTTTACAAAGACTGAGCAGCATCTACATGTCGGGCCCCGTGTGGAGTGTCTAATACCCAACAGCCCCTACTGTAGGAGGTGCTGTTACTCTTCCTGTGTCACACGTGGGAAAGTAGACGCTAGGCTAGGTTGAGAACTTGCCTGAGACCACACAGAGCTGCACTCCAGGCTGGGCTGTCAGTGTCTAGAACCCAGCTGCCTGTTCCGACTACCTCCTACCCGCTGTCCTTTAGACACGGACAACGCAATCCCTCGTGCCACTACCCCAACCCACCCTGCGAAGACGCAGGGCACTGGCTCCCGGAGCAACGCCTGCACGGACAACCCAGCTTCCCTTTCACTAGGAGACTTACACTGAGCGGTACGTTCCGTCTCGTGTCTTCCGGATCGAAGGCCTCAACCTGGTAAATGAATCCGGGCTTTGCTCCTTCTACGATGTAGAGGTCCAGACCTGCGCCAGCGTCCGAAGTGCAAGAAGAAACATCTTAGTGGGTGAAGCAGTGGGGAATTGCAAAACACCGGGGCAGCCATCCCCAGGCACAGGGAAGCCAGCGCGCAGGCATCAGGCATCCTAAGACAGAGGAAGCCGCAGGGAAGGCCACGCCCACCAACACTCCCGGGGCGGATCCGTTTATGGAAATTAATAAAGTGCTAGGGGTGGGCCGGACTGGTGGCAAGTCTTGATCTATTTCCTCCGCTGAGAGGTGGTCTAGGGTACTGTCGGTGGCAGGAGAGGGGGTGGGAAGAAGAGGGGGTGATTAGGGCACAGCGTTGGGGAGCAGCCCCAGGTGGGGGCCTGCAGTGTGAGACGGTGCCGTGTTCCAGATCCACGGTAGCATGCAAATTGCTCCTCATCTGGGCTAAGGTACATGAACATCTCAGCAGAGATGAGTGCTGAAATGGGGGCTCTGTAGTTAGAACAGAGAGGGGGACAGAATTGGGGTTCCAGAGGTTCAGGGAAGGGGCCAGAAATGGATTCCATCCACCTCAGTGTCCCCGGCAATCGGGCAGGGATTTGCCGTGGCAGAATCAGAATTCAGACCCAGGCTGCCTTCTGTCTGAGCTTGGGCAGCCGTGTGCTTTTTACCTGTGCTCATGCTTTCCCTGAAAAACAGACCCCTGAGCTCTCGCTAAGTTCCAGTCGCTGACCTGCACATCGGGAGGATGGCAGCTCCCTGTTCTCTGGGAGCATCGTTATGGCGAAAATTGATACAAGTGTGTGTGTGTGTGTGTGTGTGTGTGAGAGAGAGAGAGAGAGAGAGAGAGAGAGAGAGAGAGAGAAACACCCTGGAGAAAAACCAAGGAAGGCAGTGCTGTGAGTTGGGTTACAATTTTAGAGAAGCTATGGAAGGCTCACGGAGGAGGTGACACTGAAATCTGAATTGGTATAGAAGAGCCATGGACAGGTGCAGGGGTGGGGGGGGGACAGGAAGAGGCAGAGGAAAAGCAAATGGAGAGATGTATGGGAGGGTGGTGCGTGGGCATTGGCACATGAGTAGGGAGCCCAGGAATGCTGGGGAGAGAGAGCCAGGGAAGATGAAGGAGGGGAGGGAGGGGGCAGGGACTTGGCACATTGGATGAGGCCCTTCGGGGACTCTGGGTCTCCCTTTAAGTAATGTGGGACTTCTTGAGAAAGGGACTCCTTGATTTAGCTGGCGTTTTAATAGTATCCCTTTGGCTGCTGTATGGAGAATAGGGCAGAAGCCAGGAGGCCAGTACAACCACACAGGGGAGACACGATGAGGGGCTGGGGCCATGACGGTGCTGGTGGTGGTGGAGACCCTGGGGAGGGCTCAGATACTACAGGTGCATAGAAGCTGGCAACATTTCCTAATGACCTGGTGTTGGGTATGAAAGAAAGAGGCAAGTCTGACCCAAGAACGCACAACTGGAAGGAGGGGGTGGCCATTGACTATAGTAGCAAAGACTTAGAAGCAGATGTGGGAGAGGGCAGAGGGTGTGGGCAGCGTGAAGCGTTTGATTTCGGGGCACATCGAGTTTGAGATGTCTATTAGACTTCCAGGCGGCCGTGTGGGGGCAGGGCAGGTGACCACTTGAGTTGAGAGTTAAGAGGAGACCCTTGATTGACATGACAGACCTGGGGCTTGTCAGTATCTGGATGGTGTTCAAAACCAAGAGCTTGGGTGAGGTCATGCAGGAAGTCCCTCTCTACTCTGGTCTCTTCCACTGCCCTGACGCTATACTGGCCCTGGACACGCACCGCCCTCACTCAGCCAGTGACTGCAGTAGGAAAGATCTTCATAAAATTTATGAGCCATGTGCATTCTGAATCTGCATGGATCTCAAAATTTGTGCATCAAAATAAGCTTATTTTTCCATTCCAGTTTTCCACCAACTTTTTGAAGTCCCCTTGACTGTAGGGCAGAACCTCTGATGGGCTCAACCTCCTCCCCAGGACAGCAAAGGGACCAAGAGACACCACAGACATGAAGGGCTTTGTACAGGCTTGGACGTTATTATTGGGCAGGCTGAGCTGGAAGACGTTACATTTATTCCCTGCTCATTAAGCAGCTGTCTTTGCCAAGGAAACAGCTGCTTGTTTATTTACATTTTTTGTTTTCCTCTGTCCCCCAGGGTCCTCCCTGATGCCACTGTCTGGGCAGCATCACATACACCCAGTGTAACTTACCTTCTGCCAACTTGCCCGGAAACTGAGGGGGCTCATTCACATCTGCTACCTGGACCATCAGGTACTGCAGATCTATGACACCAACCTCATCCTTAACGTAAATCTGCAAATCAAATACGTTTGGTCCTGTTTCAAAATCGAGTTGTTCCTTCCCAGTGGTGACGACCTAGGACATCACACAGAAGTCTTGGTCACCATGGGGAAGAAGACCTGTTCCGTATGCATGCACTGTGTGCAAAGGGGTCTTACTCGGCTGGACGCCGCCAACAGCCCGAAACCATGTTTCCTTCACTATTTCGCCTTAATTCTTCCAACATAAGTCCCCTGACACTTTGCTAACATTCTCCGGTGTGTGATGCTGCTTTCCAGAAAAAAAAAAAAAAAAAAAAAAAGTATCCAGGAGACATCCCGCTACAACTGACTGGAGATGGAAAGCCTGGGAATTAAAACCCCTTTCACCAGGACCAGCGCTGTGGCGTAGTGGATAAAGCCGCCGCGTGCAGTGCTGGCATCCCATCTGGGCACCAGTTTGAGTCCTGGCTGCTCCACTCCTGATCCAGCTCTCTGCTGTGGCCTGGGAAAGCAGCAGAAGACGATCCAAGTGCTTGGGCTCCTGCCTACATGGGAGACCCGGAAGAAGCTCCTGGCTCCTGGCTTTGGATCAACCCAGCTCTGGTTGTTGCAGCCATTTGGGGAGTGAACCAGCAGATGGAAGACCTCTCTCTCTCTCTCTGCCTCTGTCTCTCTGTAACTCTGCTTTTCAAATTAATTAATTAATTAAAAAAAAAAAAAAACTTTCACCACTTGGGGGTAGACTCCCAGCCAAGTGCCTTCAGCACCCTTAGTTGCATTTTTTTTTTTTTTTTTTTTTTGGACAGGCAGAGTGGACAGTGAGAGAGAGAGACAGAGAGAAAGGTCTTCCTTTGCCGTTGGTTCACCCTCCAATGGCCGCTGCAGCCTGCGCGCTGCGGCCAGCGCACCGCGCTGATCCGATGGCAGGAGCCAGGTACTTCTCCTGGTCTCCCATGGGGTGCAGGGCCCAAGGACTTGGGCCATCCTCCACTGCACTCCCTGGCCACAGCAGAGAGCTGGCCTGGAAGAGGGGCAACTGGGACAGAATCCGGCGTCCCGACCGGGACTAGAACCCGGTGTGCCAGCGCTGCAGGCAGAGGATTAGCCTAGTGAGCCGCGGCGCCGGCTATTAGTTGCATCTTGTCATTGCTAAGAAGGGATGCTATACTGGCCTGGGATTGCTGTTAGGTTAGAGCTCAACTCACCACTGCAAGGCCATGTGCAAAAATAAACAAGAAGGGAATACATTTGCATAAATAAGGAATATTGACTTAACGGAGTGTTCATTTTTTTGGGTGCCTTTCCAAACATTCTTCCACTGTCAAAAACTTTTGTCCTCGGCACTATTAGTATTTTGGAGATGTGGCAAAGTTAAGCTACCACTTGGGATACCTGTATCGCATAGTGGAGTGCCCATTTGTGTTCCGACTTCTCTGCTTCCAATCCAGCTTCCTGCTGATGCACCTGACAGTCAGCAGGTGATGGGGCTCGAGTACTTGGGTCCCTGCCATGCACGGAGGAGACCCGGATGGAGTTCCTGGCTCCTGGCTTCAGCTATTGCTGCCATTTGGAGAGTAAACCAACAAATGGAAGTCCTCCTTCTCTCTCCCTCCATCCTTCCCTGTCTTTCTTCTCCCTCTGTCTCCATCGCTTTGCCTTTCAAATACATAAATAAGTAAATGTTTTTGAAAACTGGCCTTGGGACCAGTGTTGAGGCACAGTGGGTTAGGCTGCTGTTTGAGATGCTGGATCCCGTAGCAGAGTGCCAGTTGGAGTCCCAGCTGCTCTGCTTCTGATCCAGCTTCTGCTAATGCTAATGTACCTGGGAAAGTAAGATGATAGCACAAGTGCCTGAGTCCCTGACGCGCATGTGGGAGACCCAGATGGAGTTCCAAACTCTTGGCTTCAGCCTGGCCCCCACTCAGCAGCTGGGGAGTGAACCAGCAGATGGAAGATTCCCTCTCCCTCTCTCTCTCTCTTTCTCTCTCTGTATTTCTTCCTTTCAAATAAATAAATAAAATTAAAAATACAAAAGCAAACCCTGCCTTCCCCATTACTCAGCGTTTCTGTCCCTGAGTTTCCTAATGGGTAAGGCAAGGGTTATGATGACACTTACTAGAGAGGGTCATTGTCAGGATTAAACAAGCTGACCCACAGGAAACACTGAGGGCAGTCTCTAGCACTGAACAGACACCCTGCACATGCTGACCCTTGCCACCCCTAGGTGTGGTCAAAAACTGTGTAAGTGGGCTTCAAAAAGTTCATGGAAAATGCATAACATGCCCAAATTATGCATGGACTTGAAACTGCACATATTTTAAAATTTTATTTTCTACACACTTTCTTTTTAAGAAGATTTATTTACTTATTTGAAGGGCAGAGTTACAGAGAGGCAGAGGCAGAGAGAGAAAGAGAGAGAGAGAGAGAGAGAGAGGTCTTCCATCCTCTGGTTCACTCCCCAGATGGCTGCAACGGCTGGAGCTGCACTGATTCGAAGCCAGGAGCCAGGAGCTTCTTCCAGGTCTTCCATGCAGGTGCAGGGGCCCAAGGACTTGGGCCATCTTCCACTGCTTTCTCAGGCCACAGCCGAGAGCTGGATCAGAAGTGGAGCAGCCAGGACTCAAACTGGCACCCATATGGGATGCCAGCACTGCAGGTGGCAGCTTACATGCTATGCCACAGCACTGGCCCCTCCACATACTTTTGAAATCCCCTCATAGGTCCCCCACAGCAGGTATCTCTGTTGAGTCAGGCCCCCTTTGTTTCCTCATTCATACCCTCACTTCCTGCTAAGCCTGCAGCTCCAACCCTGTTATCACCTACTGCCAGCCCCTTTGCCCTGAGAAACAGCTCTAATAGCCTAGAGAAGGAAATAAAACAGTCAGAAAAGTTTTCCAAAAGTGTCATATCTTGGTTTCCTAAAGAACTGGGTTATTGGGGCCAGTTTTGTGGTGTAGCAGGTAACCCTGGCCTGCAGTGCTGGCATCCCATGTGGGCGCAGGCTCGAGACCCGGCTGCTCCACTTCCAATCCAGTGCTCTGCTATGGCCTGGGAAAGTAGTGGAAGATGGCCCAAGTCTTTGGGCCCCTGCACTCACGTGAGAGACCCGGAAGAAGCTCCTGGCTCCTGGCCTCAGATCAGCATAGCTCCAGTCGTTGCAGCCAACTGGAGAGTGGAACAGTGGGTGGAAGACCTCTCTCTCTCTCTCTCTCTCTCTCTACCTTCTTGTAAATCTGCCTTTCAAATAAATAAATAAATATTAAAAAAAAAAGAACTGGGTTGCTATCAATACAAATGGACAAACTTTTTTTTTTTAAAGATTTATTTTATTTATTTAAAAGTCAGAGTTACAGAGAGTCCTGCTTTTCCAGTCCTGGACTGCAGCTACTCAGAGCCTTCCTTCTCAGTGTTGCTCCAAGAGAAATCCCCTTGGTGCATGATCAGCCACACATGGCTGACTGGGGCTCCTGCATCTCTCTTGCTGGCCCACAGCAAGCTCGTGTAGCCTGGGAGCTACAAACAAGGGTTCTTGGGATCAACTTTCCTCAAGTTGGCCAGGAACTCCATTTGGGTCTCCCACAGCAGTGACAAGGACCCAAGCACTTGAGCCATCATGCGCTGCCTCCCAGGCCATAGCAGAGAGCTGACTTGGAGACAAAGAAGCCAGGATTTAAGCAGCGTTCTAATACGGGATGTAGGTGTCCCAAGCAGCAGCGTAACTCGCTGGGCCACAAGGCCCATCTCAGAACACGCAATGTTAAATTGTGGTATCAGTAACAACCAAGAGATCAGGTGCTTTGAAAGCAGCAGGCAAATTTCAAGGAGCAGAGACATCGCCATCACTATAGGCAGACGGCAGAGACAGGTGTCTGTCCCCTGGCAAGTGGCGACACAAAGGCAGTGCATTCAGGTGATGAAATAGTATTCAGCCATGCCCAAGGAACGAAGCGTGGACACATGTGACCACATAGGCGACCTTGCATCTTTGAGCCAAGTGAAAGAAGTCAGTTACGAAAGACTGCATACTATGGAGGCTCTTCAAAACGTTCATGGAAAATGGAACTAGAGGGTAACATTTATTATAGTTGCCTGGCAGGGGAGATACCATGATCACAGAGATACACTTATTTGGGGGCAAAACAATTTTGAACTCCACACGTGGTTTTCTCCCAACACGCTTCTCATGAACTTTTTGGAGACCCCTGAGTGCATAGATTTAAACATTTTTTTTGTACTGAAACAAGTTTATTTTTCAACTCCATTTTCATTCACTTTTTGAAGTGCCCTTGTATATGATGCCATTCATACAGAATGTTCAGAACTGGAAAATCCACAAGGACACAGCATAGAGTAGTTGTGGCCAAAGACCGTGGAGGTGGGGAAATTAGGGGTGACTGCTAACAGGCATGGTGTTTTGTGCTGGGGTAACAAAAATTTCCTAAAATTAGGTTGCAGTGATGGTTGCAGAACTCTGAATATTCTAAAACCCACTGATTGCACAATTTGCATGTCTGGATAGCATGCTGTGTGATTTTGCTGCATATACTGTTTTGTCAAACTTTGCTTGAAACAGTTGTCAAGCAAATTGATAGGAATTATATGCTACTATAGTTTTAATGATTTTGTGATGATTTTCAAGTTTACTTGATATGAACGAAGCTGATCGTCTTTTCATCTGATTGTTGCTCGTAGGCCCTGTCTATTCTGCTGAACTATAATCCTTTTACTTTTTATTGATTGAACTCTTTCATTAGTGGAGCAATAAGCCTTTGACTATAACGTAAATCAAATACATGAGCTAAAAAAATTGGTTGGAAAAAAGATGTGCTCTGTGAATTGTATCTCAATAAAGCTGTTTTTAAAAAAGCAATCAGAGGGGCCAGCACTGTGGTGTAGTTAAGCTGCTGCCTGCAGGGCCGGCATCCCTCTATACCACAGTGGGCACCGGTTCGAAACCCGGCTGCTCCTCTTAGCTGTAGAAGATGGCCCAAGTCCTTGGGCCCTTGCATCCGCGTGGGAGATCTGGAAGAAGCTCCTGGCTCCTGGCTTCGGATCGGCACAGCTCCGGCCGTTGTGGCCAATGGGGAGTGAACTAGTGGATAGAAGACCTCTCTCTCTCTCTCTCTCTCTCTCTCTCTGCCTCTCCTTCTCTCTGTGTGTAGCTCTGACTTGCAAATAAATAAATAAATCTTTAAAAGGGGGGGGGCAATAAGAGGTCCAGAGCCAGGCTGCCTGGCTTCCAGTCTCAAATCAGCTACCTACCAGCTGTGCAACTCAGAACAAGTTACTTAACCTCTCTGATGCAGCACCTGGGAAAAGGAAGTAGTACCACAAATACGATCATCTGATTGTGTGAGGACTACAAGAGCAAACACAGTTCCTCTCCAGTGTCCGTGTTCCGTAGGTGTGAATGCTGGGCAACCTTAGAGGAACAGGCCAGCAGGAGCTGTCACAGCCAAGCCGGAGCCAGGGAGCAGGGACACAGCACACAGCTGTTGTCACCCAACCGGCACCCAGGACCCAGGAATATAAACCGGAGGCTGAGGTAGAGATTGGTAGAAATTGGAGGTGTGCTTCCTGGGCACCAGGGGAGATGAGACTATGATGCGCCAGGGTGGCCCTGGCCCTGGCCCAGGTGTGCACGCATTTTAAAAGCTCCCCAGTAGCTTAAGTCACGAGCTGGGTTTCAAAACACTGAGTGTGTACCACAGGGCAGCAACTGAGCCCGGACTGGGCAGGCCTGAGGACTTCCAGACCTTACAAAAGGGGAGCCGAAGCCAGGGAGGGGGGGAGGGAAATGATCACTGATGCAGAAGCCCGCCCCCGCCCCCGCCCTTAGGGTGCAGATGCTGCTGACCTCAAAGTCGGTGTCTGACAGTCGGTTCACCCTAAAGGCGTCAGTGAGGGGACTGGAGTTGAGGATCAGTGGAAATCCTGGGGTCACAGGTGACTGTGACGCTGACAGTTTCACAGAGAACGTGTGCACCGAAGTCCCAGGTGGAGAATTCTCGGCCACGTTGCTGGTGGCAGGTAAGTGGATGAGCTGTAGTGCCTCTCCCCCTGTGGTTTTAGAAAGATACAACACAGCGTGAACACAAAACCATTTGCTGGGAACAGGGACCTCACAGCTCGGGCTGTGGCTTCCACTGTGGCTCAGCTGACTGTGGGACTTGGTCGCTCCCCAAGAATAAATGCTCTCGCCAAACGCTGGAGATGGAAGTGCAAGATCTGCAGGAGACAAGAAAGCAGCTACCACGCACCACGCAAGCTGCTTCCGTCCCGCACTTAATAAAGTGGCTGCTTTTCTTTACCTCCTTGCTTCTCATCACTTGCCTCCCAGCCCTCGGGAAGACCCAGGCAAAGAAATGTGGTGCCTCGCGGGAGATAGGCATCCACTTGAAAGACCTCGGCTGCTAATGACATCCTCTGGCTTGCAAGGGTCCGTATAGCTCACAGGAGCGTATTTTTCTCCTCCGCGTCAGTGTCTGATCCATAGGTCATCTGAGAACTGAGTGTGCATGGCTACAGAGCTCCAAAATCACAGTCAATCTCCCCACGCCCATTAGTAATCGCCAGAACTGTGATTTGTTACTATTGGATGCTATGCCATTGAGCGTCACGGCGAGGGGCCAATCAGGGCTGCGTGGTTGATTGATTCCCTCCCACTTCACAGAGGAAACCAGAGATTCCGGGAAGGCATCGGAATCGCCTCGGGCCAAATTAGAGACAGGGAATTTTACAGTTCGTAAGAAAATGTATGTCTTCTAGGGAAGGCTAGGGATCATTTTATGGTCTCCATGACACTGTGCAAGGCTTTGCCAGCTCAGAGAACAGCAGGCTGAATATTTGTCGTATTTCCACAATGCTGCTTACTGCTGTGGGCTGAGTAATATTCCCCCAAAGATTCCTGTCCCTGGCGAATCTCAGAATGCACCGTACCTGGACGTAGCGCCTTTGGAGGGGTAGTGAATGAAACTGAAAGAAATCTGATTGCATTAGCTCGGCCCTTAACCCAGGGACTGGTGTCCTTGGAAGGAAGCAGGACTCGGAGATAGGTGCCGAGGAGAGGAGGGTCTGAAATAATTCAGGCAGAGACTGGAGCCACAGCCACAGACCACAGCATGGAAAGTGAGCCCCAGAAGCTACGAGGGAGGCAGGGGACAGAGGGAGTGACCCCAGCAGCGCACTCATTTCAGGCTTCCGGTCTCCTGGACTCTGAGAGAACGGATGTCTGCTGTGTTAAGCCACCCAGCTTGGGGTAATTTTTTTTATGCCAGTCCTAGGAAATGAATAGAATGCCCTAAGTTCCAAGTAAGTGCATAACATAAAATCATCTGTTTAATTTACTCCCCAAAGCACCCCTCTAGGGTAGGAATTAATGTTGTTTTCCAGGCGAGGAAACCAATCAGAAAGACACACAGTAACTAATAAACAGCAGAGGGGCTGGCGCTGTGGCGTAGTGGGTAAAGCCGTTGGCCTGCAGTGCTGGCATCCCATATGGGCGCCAGTTCGAGGCCCAGCTGCTCCACTTCCAATCCAGCTCTCTGCTGTGGCCTGGGAAAGCAGTAGAGGATGGTCCAAGTCCTTGGGCCCCTGCACCCACGTGGGAGACCTGGAAGAAGCTCCTGGCTCCTGGCTTTGGATCGTCGCAGCTTTGGCCATTGCAGCCAAATGCGGAGTGAACCAGTGGATGGAAGACCTCTCTCTTTCTCTCTCTCTCTGCCTCTCCTTCTCTCTCTGACTTTCAAATAAATAAACAAATCTTAAAAAAAAATAAACAGCAGAGCCAAGACAGATCCAAGGCCCACCTTCCCAGCTGGATTCCCACCTTGGCCACCATCAGCCATGGGAAACACAGCACCTGGCAGAGTAGAGACAGGGGGGATGGGGGCTTCCAAACGGCCAAATCCCAAGAAGGGAACAAGCCATGGGGAGAAGCCAGGTGTGTAGGAGGATGTCTTCCTTTTCATTCGGAGGAAGGCACAGAGGAGTAAATGGAGATGTGGGGAATCTGAAATATGAGCACACTCACTAATACACACTTCTAGACATCCAAAGTCATCTTATTGCATTGAGAGACTAAAATACATAATGCAGAAATGACTGTCGCTTGCAAATGAACAAGTTTTATGGACAAGGCCCGTGCAAGTACTCAGAAAAACAGCTGAGGGTTTAGGGTGATGTGAGTACAAATAGACTTTAAAAATCTATTAAAATGGATGTCAAGATCATAACATTCTTGTGATGAAAATCAGCAGAGTAGTATGTTTAGAGTATTTAGAGACAAAAAAAAAAGCTACCCCAAATGATTTTTTCAAATGAGCAAAAGATTGATTGCTTTGGTGGGTTGGGTTTCGGAAGCCTAATTTGCTCCCATCCTCCTTCCCCTAAGTGGGAAATGTCACCAGGGCAGGCCCCGAGCTGTTCAGGGTAGAGTGTCCCCACTGGTCAGAGAGACAAGGCCAGCCGTGGGCTAAAGGAAAGGCCACATGTGTCTCATGGGACCTCCATCTCTCATTCCGGCTCTTCCCTGGCTGTCTCCCACCCTCCCCAGGGACTTGTGCTCCACCAAGTGAGGTGTAGAGATATAGCTTGGCACATTTTCCTCTGAAGCAGCTTGAGGGAAGATAAGGCCCAGCCCAAATGAACAGACAGAAGCAAGTAACCAGTTGCATGTTCCTGCACCCACCTCCCAGGCTGCTGCACGACCTGGTCCCATCCTCTCCCGATGCAACCCTGTGAGGTAGGCATTGCCACCGCCACTTCACACAACCCCTGGAGGACCTGCAAAGGAAGTGGCCAGGGTGGTCTTGGTTCACAGCGTGGCAGTCCGCACATGCCTACTGCAGTTTGTCCCTGCCACATCGCTGAGCACCTGTGGTGCGTTGTAGTTATTCCTTTACCAGGGACGCTACAGCGAGATGGCTCTGGGGGCTGGTGAGAAGTTGGACTTTCAACCAAGGTGCTGTGTCTGCATGAGGTGCCCAGGAAGAGGCTGTCTTGTGCTGGAATACGAGCTCGAGGTAGGCCAAGCCCCCCAACAGCTTCCCCCTGTGTGGGAAGGTAACCGTGGCCACCAACCCCCATGCATCTCCTGTGGAACTGGGGAGTCCAGAGAGAAGCTGTGTTCCCCAAATGCTGCCTGTTGACAGCTCCGGTCTCGCTTTGCTGGGAACCTACCCACTGATTTTATTGCATTGATCCTAACTTTGACAGGACCTGGATCTGAGACACCAATTCCATGAAAGGACCTGCTTTCCAAGGACAGCTCCATGTGGCCCCTGTATGTTTATACAGCTTTTCATGGTCCCCCTGAACCGTCAAATGTTGAATGGCAGCACGAGAGAGAATTTGGAAGACGTGGCAATTATCCAGTGCTCTTGTGCCATTTTGTAGGGAGCTGCCTGTTCCATGTAGGGCTGAGGCTAGACCACCCAGGATGTGGCCTTCCTGGAATTCCTGTACTCTTCTCCTGGTGGCCTCGCCTCCCAGGGCAAGGCCACCTATGTCAGGGCCATGCCATTGAATCCTCAAAACTTTTTAAGGCAGATATGCTGGGGATACTGATAAGAAATGTAGCCATCTGAGATGTCCGTTCAGCTTCCTCGCCATTAAAAATAATAGTGGGGCCAGCGCTGTGGCATAGTGGGCTAAGCCATTATCTGCAGCACCAGCATCCCATATAGGTGCCAGTTCGAGTCCCAGCTCTTCCACTTCCAATCCAGCTCCCTGCTATGGCCTGCAAAAGCAGTAGAAGATGGCCCAAGTCCTTGGGCCCCTGTACCTGCGTGGGAGACCCAGAAGAAGCTCCTGGCTCCTGGCTTCTGATTGGCCCAGCTCTGGCCATTGCTGCCATTTGGGGAGTAAACCAGCAGATAGAAGACCTCTCTCTCTGTCTCTTCCTCTCTCTGTCTCTGCCTCTCAAAGAAATAAATTTTTTTAAAAATTATATAATACTACAATGTCCCCAAACATTTAACCCATCTGTGGCACATCCATGAGTGATGTGCTCCAAAGGCCTGAGCTGCTGAGTGGCAGAGGGTGAGTGAGAGGCCAGGGCCAGCTCTCCCTGAGACACCGAGTGCTCTCCTCCTAGGCTGCTCTTCCAGGCTTTGTTGGGTGGCCTGAATGCTGGAGAGCAAGAAGGAGCCTTTAATAGAACTTGACTTACACATTCATCTTAATTAGGAATCAAATTAGAGCTGCTTGAAGCGTACACTTTGAAAAAGCATGCAGAAGATGCCTTCTCAGTCACCCAGCCACCCAGCCCAGCGGAACCTCTCACTGGTGGCTGAGATCTGGAGGCGTGGTGTGAACACTTGCTCTCCTTGGATCATTCCCTTTCCAGAAAGGGACTTCCGGGGCCTTCTCCTGGGAGCCTCCACAGCGTCAGTTACAGGGGAGGAAGCAGGCCACCCTGGGCTCCCAACACCACGAGCGGCGTCGTGGATCTAGGATAAAGGGGGTGGGGTACCCCCATCTTCCCCACCAGGGATGCAGCTGCCCTCACGGACTGCAACCAGCACCCGCTCAGCCCTGCTTCATTCTCTGCAGCACTTAGTCAAAAGCAGAGCTGACACACATCAGGGGTGGGAAAAGAGCAGGGCAGGCGGAATCACTGCTTGATCGTGTGACCATGGACTGGCCCCGGAACTTGCGGGGGGATTCCCTTCAACTCTGTCTCCAGGGCTGCCTGGCTCCGCTCAACCACTCAGAATGGCTGCTAAACAGGGGTCTATTAACCGAGACTCACAAGACTCAGTGGCAGTCCTGACAAATCTCCAGCTTTACTGCAGAGAAAGCAAGGAGGGTGGCAACAATGCTGAAGTAAGGACACACATCACAGCTGACGGCGGCCCCACAGCGAGAGATGGGGTGGCGGCAGGTGCAGGTTCCCATTGTCCCCTTTTCTCTCAGGGCCACCTCAGGGTGTGCTTTCTTGTATCAGGAAGCACTGACAAAGGCACAGATACTGTCGAAGTCCACTTGGGGTTGCTGTGACAGAGTGTCACAGACGGGGTCACTTCATAAACAAAGAAGTTTATGTGGCTTGTGGTTGT